ATCGTGGATACCACCTTTGCTCGTAAGGTTGGGTGCTACATCGACTCGAATCAGATCCAAGATTGTGTGGGGATCGGCGATAATGTGTGTCGGACGGAAGGAAGAACGCGGATCAAGGTAACTCTCGCAGGATCGTTGGTGTATTTCTTCGATATCTGGGTAGGGGATCTCTCTGGGCAAGAAGCTATCCTAGGCATGGAGTTCATGGTTCCGGCCGGGATCCGCCTGGATCTTGCTCACGGATCCATCAGCTTGCCCGACGAAATCCGGATCCAGCTCAGCGGGAGGCGACAGCTTTACAGCGACAAGGCCAGGATCGTGAACCTTGGGCAATATCTGAGGATCCAGCCAGGAGGATCAGCGTAGCTTCCCATACGCCTGAGGACTTCGGATCATGAGAAATTCTGGGTCATCCGTGGAGATCATTGGGTCCCCACGATAGTCCATGGTCCAGGGAAGATCCGATACATGAGGATCACGAACGTCGGTGACAAGGTGTTGTTCCTTCATCAGGACTTGCGGATCGGGATCTGGCTGGCCGGCGATCATCCCCCGCGACTGCCAGGCTTCATCTCAGTAGGATCCTGGCGCTACATGGAGTGGCAAAATCTGGCCTTGGAAGCGACCCGAGTATGAAACTGCAAAGACCAAGACCGACGGCGATCAAGTGTCTGAAGGGCGGATCAAGTGGAGATCAAGATGTCTTCGACCACCCGCCTTCGGATAGTCCGCCGTCGGACAATCCGCCGCTGGATTGTCGACCGTTGGGGGTGGCGTCTGTCGCAAGTGATGGGTCGGATCTGTCGTCTATCACAGATGACGACTCTATGTCACATGCTGTAACGGTCGTGAAGGCGACGGATGATCAGGATCCAAGCATATCAGGTATTACAGCGGTGGATCGGACCCTGGTCAAGGATCCGGCCGTGGAAACAGTATTGGCAGATGAAGCCCCAAGTGGTGTAACTGGTGCGGATCAAAATTCACCGGTTCAGGAAGTCCAAGATCCGAAGGTGGCGATGTTGAATGGTGATGGGCCACACCCATCATCATTGATGGGTGTAGAATCTGGGACGAGCCATATGTTGGGTGACCCGTCGGACCAGAAGGACGCCACGTCTATGTCACAGAAAAAGGACTCCGGCAGCTGCTCCTGAAGATCAACCTGACACATCGGATCTGGATCTCACTTGGGACTCGGATCAGGATTACGACGAATGTGTATATTATCACGAAGGCAGTGATCTCTACACCGAAGATGTCGACGGACAACTAGCGGTACTGCCCGAAGTCCCAGCAGCGACGGAAGATGTGAGGATCGAAGATATCCAATTGTGCGGATCCGACAATCAGACGCCGGAAGAAATCGACCGACTCCGCCAGCGGATCTGGAAGTTCCGGCACCTGATCGGCAAAGGAAATGCGCTCCCACCAGCAGCCCGAGGGGTTGTGCGATATTGATGTGGGAGGAGCACGACCGATCGCGCTCAAGTGTCGTAAGCTGCAGATCCAGTTCCGGGAGAAATTGGCAGAGTTGATCATGGGTCTCCTGTCGGCTAAAATGATCAACCACTCAAGATCTCCATGGGCATCGCCGATCGTCGTGATCATCAAGAAGAATGGTGTGGATATACGATTGTGCATTGAATATCGGTTGGTTAACAGTCTTACACAGCTGATGGTTTACCCCATGCCGCTGATCAACCATCTACTGGGGGATCTCGAGTTTACACTATGGTATTGCTCACTTGACATGGCGAGTGGTTTTTGGGGTGAAGATGACGGATCGGGCCCGCCTGATCTCGGCCTTTAATACCCCATTTGGTCTTTCCGAGTGGAATCGGATGCCTTTTGGGCTGAAGAATGCGCCGCAGATCTACCAGCGGATGATCGACAACGCCATGTATGGGTTCACTCGGATCCCGAAAATGGCAGGTGATCTGGAGCGTCTGGATGTATTTGAGGCGGGGGAGCCTGAAGATCCGGGCAAACCATCGGGGTTAGGACGCAGATCCTATATCGACGACGTCTTAGTGCCAGCGGATAACTGGGATCAGCTATGTGACCGAGTCGAAGATCTTCAGGAGGCGTGCGACAAATGGAACTTGTCGATCAGTGTTGTCAAGCGTTTCTGGGGCATGCCCAAGGTGGAATATCTCGGTCA